ACGCTAACGGTTTATTCGAATTTGAAGTCATTGTAAAATTTGTGCAACGCTGCTTCTCCCGCTTCCGTAAGGATAACCTCAGGAACGTAATTTTCATCGGTTTCCTCCATTTTCTATACGTTATTTTCTTCAAAAAACTTCCCTTTTCTGCAGGGAAAACTGATAAATGTCAAAATTTATTTATAACAATGTATCATGCCCGTGGCAACCAAACAAACACCCTACTCTGACCAAAATGTAAAAAAGTCACTGTCATTCTGACATTTATAGAGTACTAAGACGCAAGTAGCTTTGATTTGATCACAAAACTTATTAATTATTATACCATAAAAAAATGATTTCTTCCACTTGTTTGTTGAATAAAACATTGTATGCCACTCGTGTGTTATGTTTCCTAAGTCACTTCAGAATTTATAAATCTTTCTCGTGTGACCTATTTTCAATATAACACACTAGTACTATAAATAACTATTAAAACTTTTTTATATCAAAACTTCCTTCTTATAATATTAGAATTTTGAAAATGGTAAAAAGTGAAAAAAAATTATAGTAGGATGAAACCCGTTAAAAAAGGACGAGAATATAACAAAAATGAAAGGAAAAATAATTTACGGGCGATCTGAGGTCGGGAAGTGGAAGGGGGTGAGTTTTTAAGGGTAAAAAACGGTGTATCTCGATTTCCGGCAAAACTACAAGTCCTATGGAAAAAAATTAAATAACAAAGTTGTAGGCAATAAAGAGACCTACAACTTTTGTAATTACACTTTTTTCACATAACCTCAAAATTTATGTGAAAAAATTAAATAATCAAGTTTTTGGTTTTTTATTTTTATATTATGCAAAAAAAAATTTTTTTTTATGAAATTTGGTGAAAACTTACCTTTTTATGTCCTAAAGACACTGTAATTTTTTTGATTTGAAATATTTATTTTTTCACCTTATTTTGACTTAATATCGAAAAAACACCCTAATTTTCAATCGAAAATTCTCCCGTCAAAATATCAGCTTTTTAAAAAAAGTCGGGGAGTTTTTTGTTTGTTGAAATCTCTTCTTTCTGATAATGTAAAAAAATATATACATTACTATGGTAAATGTTCTCAGAAAATGCAAAGAAAAGAAAAAACTCGAATCCGAAATTTTTTTTTAAGGAGGTCCTTTCGCCACCAATGTTAAATAAAAAATATTAGATTATGACTAAAATTAATTTTTTTCTAATAGTAGAAGTCCTTATTTATCTAATAGTGAACTTTTAACTATACCTTACCGTGCAAATTTTTGAGAAATTTTTTTTTTAAAAATGTGTGAGTTTTTACAGTGTCTTACGAGAAAGTAAGACTTCAACAACAATTTTCGAATTATAATTACTAAAAATAAGATTTTTGAAATATTTAGGTTTTGTTTTTTACAATAAAATATATAGGTTACCGTGGAATTTATTGAGAAATTAATATTAAAAAATCACAAAAAATTTTCAACTAGGTTACTTCAAATTTTTTTTTAATATTAATTTCTCAATAAATTCCAAGGTAACCTACATATTTTATTGTAAAAAACAAAACCTAAATATTTCAAAAACCCTATTTTTAGTTTTTTTCTACTCCATCTAATTAATAAATAATAATATAATTCGAGAATTGTTGTTGAGGTCTTATTTTCTCATAAGACTGCACAAATACATTTAAAAAAAAAAAATTCTCAAAAATTTGCACTGTAAGGTATAGTAAAAAGTTCAACATTAGATAAATAAGGACTTCAACTATTAGAAAAAAAATAAATTTTAGTCATAATCTAATATTTTTTATTTAACATTGGTGGCGAAAGGGGTAGCGAAAGGACCTCCTTAATCACTGCAGACATTATTAAAACTTCGATAGAAATTTCCAGATATACCAATAAAACTGTCATTGTTGTGGGTCAAGATATTGATCTTTTGGTCTTTTTGAATCAATTAACTTCAAATAATCATGACATTTATTTTCTCAAACCACAAATTTATGCTCAAATTGTAATGGTTCAGAAAAATGAACCAATGTGGAAGAAAAAACCTACGAGGAAGTTAGTGATTCGGATGAAATTGTGGATGAAGGATCAATTCAGACTAAAAATAATATTGGATACGAAGACGGTGATGGTCTTGAAGATTTCGAAGATCTGCTAGAATCGGGAAGGTTTGTCGAATCTAACGACAAATAAATGCCACCGAAGAGACAAAAAGTAATGGATAAGTGATTAGGGTTCAAGATAAGATTTATAAATAATATTAATGCATTTTAAAATATTATGAATAATAATAATAATCAGTATAAAGTATCTAAATTCAATATTACGATTTACATTTCTATTCATATATTATGAGATTTTCTATGACATAAATGTAATTATAATTTAATAAATCAACTTTGACTAAAAAAAATTGTAGCAATCACATTTTTTAATTGAAATCCCCCCTTTAAATCCTATCTTTAATATTTAGAACAACTATTTTCGCATGTTTCTTACAATTTTTATGATTTATGGATTTGTAATTTTTTTGTTTATTAATGTAACATAGAATCTGACGTTTTTCAAGTAATTAAAGTGTCAATTCTACTAAATAGCTCAAAATTGTACATGTGATTAAAAAAAAATCTCGGATTCGAGTTTTTTTCTTTTCTTTGCATTTTCTGAGAACATTTACGATAGTAATGTATATATTTTTTTACATTATCAGAAAGAAGAGATTTCAACGAACAAAAAACTCCCCAAATTTTTTTAAAAAGCTGATATTTTGACGAGAGAATTTTCGATTGAAAATTAGGGTGTTTTTTCGATATTAAGTCAAAATAAGGTGAAAAAATAAATATTTCAAATCAAAAAAATTACAGTGTCTTAAGGACATAAAAAAATAAGTTTTTACCAAATTTCGTGAAAAAAATTTTTTTTTTGCATAAGATAAAAATAAAAAACTAAAAACTTGATTATTTGAATTTTTCACATAAATTTTGAGGTTATGTGAAAAAAGTGTAATTACAAAAGTTGTAGGTCTCTTTATTGCCTACAACTTTGTCATTTAATTTTTTTCCATAGGTCTTGTAGTTTTGCCGGAAATCGAGATACACTGTTTTTACCCTTAAAAACTCACCCCCTTCCACTTCCCGACCTCAGTTCGCCCGTAAATTATCTTTCCTTTCTTTTTTGTTATATTCTCGTCCTTTTTTAACGGGTTTCATCCTACTATTATTTTTTTTGGTTTCAAAAATTATCGACCCTGGTCTATATCTGAATGATTGCAAAGTTTATCATTATGAATTTTAGCTATACTAGCGCCAGACCTATTTTGCAATAGCAATACTTTTTCTGTGAAACTATGTAAACTAGTATCCTCGTAACTTATAATAATTATGTTATTATTTCAAATGCTATAACATAAAACCGCAATACAAAATTAGGATAAGTATTAATAAAGGTTTATATAAATCACATTGTTAGAAAAACAAAAATGAAAATATTTATATTTCCTTGGAAAACTTTTCTTCGGATGTCTATGTATATATAATGGCACCCTCGTTTCTTCTCTTCTCCCAGATCCTCCGTGTCTGAACAACTGGTCAGCCGGAAACCAATAACTGCTGTGTCTTGTCATTCTTCGACATTTGAATTTAAAAATCGTTCTCACTGTTCTCTGAATACCCAATAAATTGAAATTTGTCATACTAAAGTTTTTAGACTTATTTTAGGTAATTTTAATTATTTTTTCGATGATATTTAAATTAGTAAATACCCATAAAATCCAATAATTAAATAATTTTGTCCACGACTGTTCTATAAAACATTCATTATACTTGTACTTCCTTAAGAATAATAATACCTATTATTCACTAGTGAATAATGATCCATTAGTCACGGTATGACGTCACGACAGCACGTATGTCTAAACTGATATGAAAATATTCTTTATAGGTAATCGAAAAATCGAAAAATAGAAAAATCGAAAAATCGAAAAATCAAAAAATCAAAAAAAATCGAAAAATCGAAAAATCGAAAAAAAAAAAACGAAAAATCGAAAAATCGAAAAAAAAAAAACGAAAAATCGAAAAAAAATCGAAAAATCAAAAAAAAAATCGAAAAATCAAAAAAAAAATTGAAAAATCGAAAAAATCGAAAAAATCGAAAAAATCGAAAAAATCGAAAAAATCGAAAAAACCGAAAAAATCTAAAAAATTGGAAAAAGTTGGAAAAACGAAAAAATCGAAAAAAATTCGAAAAAAAAAATTGAAAAATCGACAAATCGATAAAAACGAAAAATCGAAAAGTCGAAAAGTCGAAAAAACAACAGTTAAGTTACCTATGTTTAATAAAAACTTTCCATTCTACACTTAACTTTTATTTAATAAAGAAACCATAATGGTCATGGACAAAGTATAGTATTAGACTCGCAATTTATGGCTATAAATTGCTCGTTTAATAATATAATATTATATTTAAGTAATTATAAACAAAAATATTATAAACATTATCATAATTATTAAAAAGAAATCTTCTATACGCATAAAATAAGTTTTTCAAAAATGGTTTTATATTTTAAAATAATTTATTCAATAAATATCGTTAATTATATCATTCGTTTACAGCATAATTTCACAATGATGCATTTAAGTTCATACATTGTAAAAATGATATTGCATTATACTTATAAATAAATATCTTTACACTAGTTATTGTACTTGTAATTATTGCTAGTCTACCTTCTACCAATAATAAGTAATCATAATAATTATGATTAATAAGAAACATAGGCGTTCGTAGATTGATTAGCTCGAGTGGTTTTTTTTTATTATATTTTGTTATATTTTTCGAATATTATTATTTAGCGAATATAAAAGATGGATACTATCCATGAGAAGCTTTAAAAAGATATTTTGTTAAGACAAAACAAAAATATTCAAACTGCAAACTTCTGAAAGGAACCAAAATTAGAATTTCTGAATAGAAGAACGGCGAAAAGTACTAGTACACTATATATGAAGAAGGCTAAAGAAGAAAACCGTTTAGCTCATATGAAAGGGAATATTCTATATATTGACGGTCAGGCCTATACTTCAGAAAACCTAAAATCTAATGGAACTCAAAACGAAACAGGTCAAATATCCGATACAGCAACAACTTCTCAACAAAAAACAATAAAATTAACCCAATCTCTAAAAAACGACAAAGTACAAGAAGCGCACATAGACGAAGCAGAAAATAATAAAAAAGAACAAATATTATTAAATGACACTGATGAACGCAAAAATAATCAAGACAATAAAAATCAAGAAAGAGAAAAAAGGGATAAAAAAGATACACAAAACATAGAAAACGATAGGGAAACAATACTTAACAGTGGCAAAAATATAATTCATTAATGAATAGGTACTATAATTATTAGATTATGTAAGACATTTTATCAAAACAAATATAATTAATATTCTTATTTTTTTTAATGCTGTTAGCTGAGGTTTTAAGACTAAATTATGAAAAAGATTTAAAAAAAAAAAACATTTTATTATAACAAATTTTACAAAACATTTTATATCTAGGTTTTCAATTTTTATACAATTAACTATGGTTTTACGACTAAAATTTTTGTTAAAATCAATAAAAACTTTTTAGTTTTTATATAACTAAACATTTTTATTATAAAAAATTAATTTGTTCTTTTGTAATGGATCCTTATTAGAAATCACCATATTCCTACTTTACAAAATGTTATTACCTACATCTTTGAAGAGACAAATAACATTTTAGACGAAACAAAACGTAATAATTTCACAATAATATACAAAGTCTAAATGCACATTTAGATGAATTGCAGGTAATGGTTGCAGGTTTTAATAAGGCGTTTGATTGTTATGTGTTAGCGGAAACATACAAACTTTATAACCCTGAAATGTTCTCTTTACCTGGTTATAATCTTATCTATTCAGAGGGAAATTTAAACAGAGCAGATGGGGTTATCGTATATATAAAAAACAATTTGACATACAACTATTAATTAAACAAACATAAATAAAAAGATAAAAGTAAAAGAAAATAATTAAAAATAAATACAAATAAATAAAATATAAGCAAAAATAAATGAAAATAAATAAAAATAAATATAAATAAAAATAAATAAAAATAAATAAAAATAAATAAAAATAAATAAAAATAAATAAAAATAAATAAAAATAAATAAAAATAAATAAAAATAAATAAAAATAAATAAAAATAAATAAAAATAAATAAAAATAAATAAAAATAAATAAAAATAAATAAAAATAAATAAAAATAAATAAAAATAAATAAAAATAAATAAAAATAAATAAAAATAAATAAAAATAAATAAAAATAAATAAAAATAAATAAAAATAAATAAAAATAAATAAAAATAAATAAAAATAAATAAAAATAAATAAAAATAAATAAAAATAAATAAAAATAAATAAAAATAAATAAAAATAAATAAAAATAAATAAAAATAAATAAAAATAAATAAAAATAAATAAAAATAAATAAAAATAAATAAAAATAAATAAAAATAAATAAAAATAAATAAAAATAAATAAAAATAAATAAAAATAAATAAAAATAAATAAAAATAAATAAAAATAAATAAAAATAAATAAAAATAAATAAAAATAAATAAAAATAAATAAAAATAAATAAAAATAAATAAAAATAAATAAAAATAAATAAAAATAAATAAAAATAAATAAAAATAAATAAAAATAAATAAAAATAAATAAAAATAAATAAAAATAAATAAAAATAAATAAAAATAAAAAAATAAAAAAATAAATAAAAATAAATAAAAATAAATAAAAATAAATAAAAATAAATAAAAATAAATAAAAATAAATAAATAAAAATAAAAATAAATAAAAATAAATAAAAAAAGTAAAAATAAATTCAGAAAAAATAAAAAATAAAAAACTTTAAAAAATAAATAAAAGAATTAAACAAAAAATTTAAATAAATAAAAATACTAACAAATAGTTAAAAAAATTAAATAAAATTAGGTAAATTATTAAAAATAATAAAAAATAAAAAAAGGAAACAAAATAAATGAAAAGATAAATGTAAAAGAAAATAAATAAAAATAATTAAAAAAATTGAAAAAAATAAAAAAAAATAAAAATAATTACAAAAATTAAAAATAGGTAATTTATTAAAAATAGAAATTAAACAAAAATAAATAAAAATAAATGAAAAGATAAATGTAAAAGAAAGTAAATAAAAATAAATAATAAATAGAAACAAATAAAAATAAATAAAAATAATTAAAAACAAATAAAAATTAAAAAAATAAATAAAAAGAAATAAAAGTGAATAAAAATAAAATAAAAATAAAAAATCTTCATTTTTATTTATTTTTATTTATTTATAAAAAATTAAATGACAAACATTTAAAAAAAATTTAATAAAAATAGGTAAATTATTAAAAATAGAAATTAATAAAAATAAATAAAATAAACAAAAATAAAAAGATAAATGTAAAAGAAAATAAATAAAAATAAAAAAATAAATAGAAAAAAATAAAAAAGAAAGAAAAAGAAATAAATAAAAATTAATAAAAATAAAAAAAATTAATAAAAATAAAAAAAATTAAAAAAATATTCATTTTCATTTATTTTTATTTATTTTCTTTTACATTTATCTTTTCATTTATTTTTCTTTAATTTCTATTTTTAATAAATTACCTATTTTTGTTTAATTTTTTTAAATATTTGTTTTTATTTTTATTTATGGAACTTCAAGTGGGGACCAAACTGTCGGGATGTCGTTTTTATTAGTTCACTCCCCATATTTTTCATGTCAGTTAAGCTAATAAGTTTACTTCAAAATTTATTTTACCATATAAATTCGTATAATATATTGAAAATTTCTAAATTAAAATTGTTATAACTTAAAAAACAAAATTTTCTGAGTCAATAATAAAAAAAAAAACTACAAAATCATTGAATTTTCAGCTCGCTATGATTTTTCCAAGTCATATATATCTCCTCTTAATTTCTAATCACTCTAACTCTGTCAGTTTTAATAATAGCAAAAAATGTCAAATTTAATTTTTATGTAAAACTTTATGCTTTACAATTTTTATTAAGAACTTTTTTTTATAGCACCTACCGTTTTTAAATAACCATAAAAAAAACATTTTATTTTCTTGTTTTTTGACTTTTGCCGGTGCCTGAAAAACAATTTTTTTTTTACATATCATTTTCAAATACTCGAAAGTGACTTATATCAAAAATTCCTGTATTTCCTCGAAAATTTTGATTTAAAGGACTACTGATCGAGAACAGTATGTCAGTATTGGTGGCTTATGAGTGATAAGCTAACAATACAATTTGCGATTCTCCAAAGTACTGTTCTTGGTCCTTTTATGTTTAATATATAATATATATTAGGTTTCGTCGATGATACGGTCATTTACTACCAAAATACCAATTGGAATACCCTAAAGAATAAAATGTTTTTTCGTAACAAATTATTAACAATTTTTTTATTAAAACAACATTTCTTTCATTTACTAGTTACGATTCAAATTTACCTGAATATGATTCAATTAATATAAATTACAACAGTGAAAATGTTTCTATAAAAATGTCAAAAACATCTAAATACTTGGGAATTATAATAAATTGTAATTTAAAGTGGAATGCACACATTAGTAGTGTTATAAAGAAAATTAGAATCCATTTAGCAAAATTTAAATATTTAAAATGTTTTTTGGATATTGCTCACTTAAAGATGCTCTATTATGTATTAATACAGACGCATCTAACCTATGGTATTATCGCTTGGGGAGGTGCGGTAGATATCCATATTAAACATTTACAAATAATACAAAAATTAATTTTAAAAATTATTTATAATAATTACAACTATACTTACCCAATGGAACGTTTATTTTTAGAAGCAGAAGTTTTGAATTTGAGATAACTGTTCTGTTTTACCTACGAGTTGCAATATGTCAGAAAAATCATATTTTCCTTAGCTCTCCGGTACGCATATTTACACATCCTCCTATATGACGGCACCGGAGTGCTGAAATCTGTTCGCCTTTGTAACCTACAAGTACGCTACAAAAGCTCATTGATTTAGGCACCAATGCATGAGGCCTCCCTTATTGCTGGAATCAGTAAGCAAGCTTATCTGCATTCTATGAAACAATGGCTGTACTTAAACTGCCGTTAAACGGTCGTGTACTAAAATGCCGTTAATAGACATGATGTCATTCAAATGACGCATTTGAAGTGTTTTGGGATTAAAAAAAAAGAAAATATACAGGAAGAAAATGAAGCAACGACTTCTCGTAGGGTGGCGGCTTCGCCGCCACCAAAAAATTTTAACCCATACATTGAAAGGTAAAGTCTCACATAACATAAAATTTGTATGGGTGTCTAAATCAATGAGCTTTTGTAGCGTACTTGTAGGCTACAAAGGCGAACAGGTTTCAGCACTCCGGTGCCGTCTTATAGGAGGATGTGTAAATATGCCTCCGGTACAACATTTATACCCAACACGTTATAAAAATCATGTGATCATCGTACCTATAATGGAAAAGACTCTAGGGCAAGGAAGTTTTGTATATAACATATGTAACGCATTGTTTTAAATCTGTTTTAAATCTGTGATAAAAGCCTGTATAAACTAGACCAATAAGTCATGTGTTGGACCCATCAGATTTTTAATGAGGTAATAGTTTTTTATTATTATTTACCGGAAAACTTTCAAAATTCGAAGTTTTACGTAAACTCTAAAGTGTATTTTTGAAATATTTATTCATTAATGAGCAGATTTGATCTTTTGAATTGTTTTAATCTGACGCATGGTGATAAAAAGAAATATGTGGTACATCAAAAATGCCTCTTGATGCATAATACCTTTATACCAAATTTCATGAAAATATCTAGAGTGGTATTACAGATATTATTAAAAAACCTAACCTAACCCTCATAAATTAAAGTTTTTTATTATTTTTTTTTTCTATTAAATTCCCATCATTTTCATTACCAAGTATCTCAAAATTTTCTTCCTTAAATGAACCCAAAAATATCTCCTTAAATATTAAAATTCAATTACAAAACACCTTGTATAAAGATGCATCTTTTAATATTAATTTTTGTTTAAAGTTATATTTCCAGTAAACATAATATATGTATATTTTTAGTTCAATAGTAAAAATCATTCTTGCATACCTACCTCTTTGGACGCTCATGTTATATTTCTTTTAGTTTAAATAATTAAGTAATAAAAACCGGTACTTATTAACTTTTGCATGTATTAATTATCTATTTTCACATTTTCAAGGCAACAAACGCAGCTACGGTCTTTGCACAATAGATGAGTAATATATAGAACAAAACAATCAAAATAGTTT